TAGTGTACTCTAGTTACTACAACAATAACATAATCATGAGCAGAATCCTTGCCATGCAGGCTGAACATCTGAACCAAAAAAGAGCAGTCATTATCATTATCACAGAAGCTTAACTTACTATGAAGCACAGTCACTGTATCCTGCTGGTTTCAGTGGTCTTCCTTGATTACCCCTGACCCTTTCCTCTTGTTCTCATTTCTCTTGTACTCCACATTAACAAGGATACAATAGAGATTCCCAAAGACCTGCTGTTTCGCAGTGTAACCACTCAGAGAGATTTAGATTTATCTCTCCAAACAATTTTACCTTTCAACAAGTGGAAGGCCAAAAGTAATGGTAGACATACATCAGTGGAATTTAAAGGCTTGGTGCTTTGATTCATCTGAGTTCATCTATAATTCTCGTAAAAAATTGTATCATGTTCAGATGTTGACTTTTGCCTTTCTTTATCATCCATCATTTCCTCTCTGTTTTTACATAAAACTTGCTCAACATCTTTCATTACACTTTCAAGTGTTAAGGAAGGTTTTCACCGATTTAAGCAAAGCACTCTCTGATTTATGGGTCAGTCATAGCAGAATGTCACAGTTTTGCAGCGACAGTGTTAAAGTTGCTATTTTCAGACACATTTTTACATTGTGGCACCTAAACTGGATCTCCTTCATCAGCCATGTTGAAGCCATACCTATTTTAGCGTTAGATTTATTTACCTACTTGTTTTCTCTAATATTATTAACATGCATTTATGCATCTATACACAGAAGTTAAAAGTGAAGAATGAGCAGTTCATAGTTGAGATAACCATCCTAAATAAAGCATAAATAACAGTTAAGAGCAACACAACGCCTAAATATATGTGACATTTCATAAAACATTTTAATTGGAAAAGAAAGAGTACTTCACGAAACAGCAGGTATTTGAGAAGTTTGAACTTAAATTTAATCCCTTAATAGCAGATTGACATTATTCTCCGGTGTTCAGTTCCTTTCCATAAACTGTTTGATGAAACAGAGACCAAGTTTTTCCTTCATGTTCCAACTCTAGAAGGTGCGGAAACCATGATGGGGAAAAGGAAGTTTGGCCTCCGCACGTTCGGTCTGCCTTCCCTTTGAACCTTCCTCTGACAGAGGAGGAGCACACAAGAACAGCAGCACTCTGTTTCCTCTGTGGTCAACCAGCAGCTACTGGAACCTCATGCCATGCAGGGGCCAGTACTTTAGTATATATTTAAACAAGCAATAATTCCTCCCCACCACTTCCATGGAATGAAAGGGGGAAAAAATAAGACCCAGCCTGTAATTCACAGGAAGAAATTTTAGAAAAAGCAAAAAGGCTGAGGCAAAGAGGTTGTTAAAACACAGAAGGAGAAGGAGGCTGTTGAATAGGGCATAAGCGGTGTTGAGTGGTGTGCACTGCGGGTTACAGGGACAAACAAAACATACATCATTGTGTCTGTGAGGTCTCAGTCCCCAATTAAACTGCACTGTTACTTTGAAAGGAAACATCATCCTACCACCTTTGTTTATTTAAATGGATTGAAAAGAGTTTTACACACTCAGGATCTATGTGCCTTATGCTTGTCTGAATAGCAGCAAACTACACTAATCATATAAAACTGTCTAATTGTAAACATGAAGACTTGAATAGAAGCTAATGGAGCAGGTAAAGAATGCAAGTCTTTCCTAAAGAGAATGAAAATGACTGGCAAAGTCATACAGGAGCTTTACCGTTGGCATGATGAAACTAAGGTCTGTTTTTACGGCAACCTCAATTGCAGTGTGTGGCATATAGTGCGAGCAAAAAACACTTTTTTCACGCACAACAAACCAAGTTGCTTACTCAAAGTCCTCTTGTGCAAGGAAGTGGTTTTCAAATCCATGTGAATGAGAAGATATTGTTTTTCAGAGCTATTTCAAAAAGCTATTTCAGAATTGTCATCTCAACATAGTTAGTTGAACCTGTCATTTTAGATACCAGAAATAAGAACGTGTGGTTGTGCTTTATGAGAACAAAGAGACTCAGAAACAAGGAAATCACTGCTTGAGAACAAAGTTCTTCTTCGGGGTAAGGGGGTTTAGAGGCTTTGGTAGTGATAAGAAGCACTTTAAAATCTTCTGAATAAACAGTTTCAGCCTTTCAAAAGCAAGTGATATTTTTTGAAACATGCACTCAGCTCACTGCCCAAGTGGCCTTGACTGCAATTTGGGCAATACCATTTTAGGATGCTGTCTCTGTGTGCTTCAACTTATATAAGTTAAGTCGAAATTGCATGTACTTCAGTTTGGTTTGAGGACAGAAGACTCCACAATGTCTGTGCTTAATATGCAGAATTGTCTAGTGTGCCTTGGGCTGCTGGCTCAGCATTTATTTTTTATTTATTTCATAAAAGATATAAATGGAAGATAAAAAGAGTTGCTAAGGTAGACAAAACAAAATCATAGATACCAGTCTGGTCTATTAAAAACACTTAATAAAAGTTACAAATTGTGATTTTAGCCAAATGTTTAGTCATTCTGTCGTGTCACAAAGTGTCTTACAGTTTAATATTTATGTCTTGTGCTTTCTATTACTAAGTCAGTCAATTCAGTTTTGTCTATATAGCCCTAATTCATAATAACAGGCCATCAAGGGCCTTTATATTGTAAAGTAAACACAGGGACAAAAGTTTAAAAAATAGCAAATCCTAACATTCAGACTGTCCCCTGTGAATAAGCGCTTGGTGACACTGAGAAGGAGGAACTTCCTCTTAACAGGAAGGCTCATAGAGGGGCAGCCATCTGCTGTGACCAGTTGATGGGGTGAGGGCAAAGACAAGAGTCTAGACAAGGACAAGACACAATCTATTAAAGACATTCAGTAGTGGCATAAAAATGCTTGGAGTATGAAAAGAGTTGAGTGGAGAAGAATGCACAGTACATCGTGGGAAGTCCCCCAGCAGCCTGTCTACATAACCAACAGATGATTCACACTGAGCCCTAACTATAAACTTTATGAAAAGGAAGGTTTTGGAAAGAGGGAAAAAACGAGCTCAAAGCCTTTGCTGAATACTGCTTTACTCACTTTGTTTTAGCCATTTGTGTTTTAGATGTTCATTTATCACAAAATGACAACTAATGAAGACCTTGTGAAGCAACTGGTTATTTTTTTTACACAGAAAGTTAAAACTCTTACATGATAAATCTTAATTATACATTAGCTACAACTACTAAAACGCCCTTGAGGAACTTCATCTAATATGGAACATGTGTGCATTGTTTCTATAGTTAATTAGTTTATTTGACCCTGAAAAAGCGTTACAGAATATACCATAACTGTTCATACATCTATGTCTTACACCTGACACACAGACACTGCTCTGAATTCAGTTTTGGTGGTCCATGTAAGGACTTTGTTCCTGAATTCCCTTAAATTGGCTCCCTCATCTGCTACTTATAGCTTTATTCACACCATCTTGATGTGTCTCTGAAGGATTGCTTGGCTTCTCTATCTGACGCTGAGCTTGCAGAGTGTTGCTAATTGGGGGAGTGTTGCACCATCGACATTCACAAGCTGTTAATGGCTTCCAGTCCATACAGTTAGCCACTGCCAAGGCTCAACTAATAAGAATCACAGATTCTCTCTGTTGTCTGGAAATACAGCTGCATCACTCATACGTATGGTGCTATATGACCATTTTTTTTCCTATAAATAATTCTTTCACATTTGTGATTGTGTATCTCAGTTGGTGCCAAATAAACCAAAGATATGCTCAGTGGTTATAAAGGAAACCTCATTAGCATGAGTCATATCTGTGGCGTGAACACAGCTGTGCATCAGCTGTATTTTTCCAGCCTGTGGTGCAGCCATGTCAAACCACTGGCATCTCATTTTAAAGTCATTGCCAGGGGGCTTGGATTTTGAGCACACTTACGATGCCAATAAATCTTATTAGTGTTGTTGGCGTTCTACCTTTTCATTCACTATGAAGATCTTTCTATATTTTTTTAAACTTTTAATTACCTTTGTGTCTAGTCCAATTTACAGAAGTATGCATCTTAATCCTGCTGTCTTCGTATGCTTCAGCAGTCAGCTGACGCGCATTATAGTTACTCTACATACATGTATTCATATTATCAGCTAGGTAAAACATTTATTTTACAATTTTTATCTTTACAATGTTAGTACCAATGAGAAAAACTGCCACTCTTCATTCGGTCCTCTCATTTATTCCCTTAAAACACAGCTGCCAAAAGGCAACATTTTTAGTGTTTTCAAGCTTTTTTTATGTTGCTGTTGCTGTGTCACAATGTTTCCTTCTACCTGTCAGTCACGTAAGATTAGAGAGACCAGTGAGCTGACATGTTGGACAAATGCACCATCACAAGACTGAAAGGTCCAACAGATTAGCCCCTTCTCTCGTGGGAAGAGTAACACGCCAGGTATCAATCTTCTCTGTGACTGCTCGCTGTATCTCACTAGAGAGTTCAGAGCTTGAAACAAATAATACTGTTGCCAACCAAATCTACAGAGATAAATGTTGGGATGGAAAGTGATCAAAGGAGGTGGCAAAGATGCAATCTCATTTGGTGGCTTAAAAAATGTCTCTCTTTAATTCCGATTTGGTTTTTTTGCATCTGCGAGGGGGACTAATATAAAAAAATGTGTATTATTTTTAAATAATTAAATTATAATTATACTATTGTATTGATCATTGCATGGTCAGTTTTTTAAATGTTGAATTTGTTGTCATGTTTGTCATGTATGACAAATTCTCATTTTCATTTTTATTTACAGGCTGAAATTTCAGTCTTCAGTATGTTTCTGTCAAATGTAAGCGAATGCCTTCCAGTTTGGCCCAGTGTGGAAATCCCTGCATGTGTCTGTGATCCTCAGAGACTGTAGTCACTGTTAATCGAAATATTAGTTTGAGCCCTTGCTACAGTACGATGTTATGATTTTCAGCTTAACTCAAGTCCAGTTCACCATATCGTTTAATGACCTGTAACTCAAATTAAACTTTATATTTTATCATGATGTAAAATGTACAATAGCAGAGTAAGGTCATTTTTAACATCCTGTCACCAATGACAAAATTCCTCCTTCACTATAATTATCCTGTTTTAATATTTATAACCTAAAGTACACTTCCAACTTTTAAATGTCACACAAAGTGGCTGAGGTTTAAGTATCCTTGAGGCAGTTTATGTAATGAGGTAATTATTTGACCTTATTATGTATGGCACATTTCATCTTATTGAGAGAGTTGTGTATTTATTATGAAAGCTTGTTTAAAGACTTTTCCCATCAAAACCCAAAGCTATGCAAGTTGGACTCTTTACATTTAAAAAAACACTTTTTTTCAGTTAGTATGCAAATGACCCATCTGTTCCATCTCTCTTCATTTGATTTGTTGGTTTTCCCACAGAGTGTACCAGAGCCCAACGCCCCTGCAGTTCTCCCTCCATCCCTGCAGGATATTGAGGAGCTGTCAGAGGCTGTGACGGAGCTGAGCACTGTAGAGGAGGTCATGAAGTACCTGGAACCAGAACGATGGCAGATGGATATGGAAGAGTTGTACAAACCTACATGGCATGTGCTGGGGAAATCATTCATCCACAGTAAGAAGGCCCGAGGTAGGACATTATTAACATGTTTGTTTTCATGAATTAAATGTAAATTTAGTCCAAGAGCCACTACTGAAATGATTAATATTAAAATAATATGTTTTGGTGAAATGTTGTGTTGAAATAATAACATCTGATGCATTTGAGGTGGAGCTGATCTCAATCTTCTGAGGGAAGAAGTTCAACTCTACAGCTGCACGCCACGTAATTTCTCGGTATCCCTGCGTGAAGAGCTGAAAAGGACAGATGTCATTTTCTGGCCCAGCTGCCTCCTGGTGAAGCGCTGTGGTGGAAACTGTTCCTGCTGCTCTCACCGCTGCTACGACTGTCAGTGTATTCCTGCCAGAGTCACAAAGAAATATCATGAGGTAAATATCAATTTGATCATGGCATGATGAAGTCCATTTGATGTTTATTTTGTTAGTTTTTATCTGAACACATAATAATACGAAAAACACCTGCAATATGAGGTAGAAAAAATAGTTTTAATTATGGAATACGTGAATATTACTGCAGTTTTATTCAGATTTATATTGATTTTTTTAAACCTGGTTTTGTGCTATTCTGTTTTCTAAAGTTATTTTGGTCCTCATCTTGGTACCATCCTTTGTTATTTGCCTTTTACTTATCATTTTGATACAAATATGGATTCTACTTTCTCTCCTAATAGCGTGTGGAAGTAATATAGGTTGTTTGTACAAACAGAAGGCTTAGTGGTCTCTAAGGCCAGCAAATGCTGGGCCACAAGCAGAAATTGGTTACACGGACTTTGAAAGCTTTGAAAGGTTTTCACTTCTTCACAAAGCTTTACAAAAGTAATTTGTTTTCCCCTGATCTATGACATTTTAAAACTTGTTCTTGTTACTCCTAAACGATTATATGTGGTTTAGAAAAACCACCACATTGTTTATGGATCTTGTAGTGAAACAGTGCAAAGACAGTTAAAATCAGATTGCCAATTCTTATTTTGTGAATTTTAACATTCAAATTTTTTTTTTGTTATACCAAAATCACACAAACATTTCCACCCATCATCCGTGGTTCCACTTTGCAAAGCAGCAGTTAAAGGTCTAAATAACCTATCCACTCAACATGCTTTAAAAACACTGCTTCTGGCCTCTTTTGTAAACAGGTTCTACTGTTGAAACATCGAAGTGGTGTACGAGGTCTCCAGAAGTCCATGACGGATGTGCCCTTGGAACACCATGAAGAGTGTGCCTGCGTGTGTAAAGATGATTCTGACTGACCTCAGACATGTGTAACAGCTGCCAACGGAAGCATGCGGATGTTAGAAATGAACCTCTGCCGCTGTTCCTATCTCATCCACTACCACTGGAAGCTAACAAGATTCTCCTTTTATCCTGATGTCCTTTTACTAATTGGATGAAGCAGAACGGACTGGAATCTAATAAATCTTCCAAATGGATTTGACTGCTGTGGAATACCAATAGAGTGCTCTGAGTCCATTTTAGAAAGGCCAAAAAAAAAATCACTGGAGCAGATCTGGACCATTACCTATGAGCTCTGAAGACTATTTTCTTCCATTCTTCTGAGATAAGAACACTGAGGCATTTGCGCCATTTCTTCCTGAGGTCTTTTTTAAAGTTCAGTCAGTGTGGGCTGATACTGTCATGAAAAATGGGAGCTTCTTTGTTCAAGTACTTTTTTATATCTATAAGTGAGCTGGCTCCAGCTGCCTTGCCTTGCTCCCTTGGCTCCTCTATTATTACCATCAAGGCAAAGAAAGGTGGTTTTTAGCCGTTTCCTTTTGCTCCCCTCTTGTTTTACCACAGAGTTTGTCTGTGGCAGTGTACAAACACAGTATAGTTGAAATGTAACACTAATGAGACTGCATTACGTGTAAATATTTTGTTTACATTTCTTTTCTTTATTAGTGTGCATTTTCTGCCAAAGTTTTTCAAAGATAAGTTTAAAGTTGCACATTCAGAATCAGTTAGAACTCCTTTTTTAAGTCTTCATTTGATCCATCTCAGCAATATTAAATCTGCTTGCTCAAGACATGCCTGGCGTCAAACCATTTTGTTTTTTCAACATTTGAGATTGTTCACAATAAGTATTTATTTGTTTAAGGAAAGGGAATTAAGGTCCAAGATGACTTGTGTGCTACATATTTCCTGTTTACTAGCCTCCTCTCTGTTTGTAATTTTTACATTTTGATTTTCTTGTGGATGTTTTTTTTTTTTTTTTCATTTTTCTGTATGCCAATATTATTTATCTCTACTTTTGCTACAACTGTTTGTGTATTTTATAGTATTGGAAAGCAAAAATAAATTCTTCCATTTCTAACAGAATATGTAGTACTTGGGATTGGAAACTTTGATCCAACCACTGATATGAATATAGTACCAAACTGCGAAAAACAAAGGCACACATACTTATGAAAATCATCATCCACCGATATTATTGTAACCATGAAAGTAAATGTTTAGTTTCTAAAATGTTTTCACAAAAAATAAAAAATGAACAATTTTGCCCCACTAAAGTGGGGATGGTTTAATTGGAAACTCTAAAGTGCCCATAGGTCTGAATATGAGTGCGAATAGTTGTCTGTATATATGTGTTATCCCTGCAACAGACTGACGACCTGTCTAGTGTGTACCCTGACTCTGGCCCTAAGACATCTGGGATAGCCTCCAGCGCCCCCTGCAACCCTGAAAAGGATAAGCGGAAGTGAATGGATGGATGAACAATTTTGCCACATAATGTAAACAGCGAGTCCCATTTATGAAATAGAAAAGTGTGACGTATTATATTATTCAGTGAATTTTTCTCAGCACAAACTTTGGTTTACCTCTGATGCACATCAAGGTGAATAATAATGCCAGGCAATCCACTAAATGTTTTGGTAACCCAAAATGAAGCATTATATTTATTCACATGCAAATTTCAGTTAACATTCCACTAAATTTAGGGTCAGATATACATGTTGTGCCAGTTCAAACTGGGTTTGAAGTACTCTTGGTATTTACAATGAGAGCACGGTGACAGTATTGCACGTAACAGGTGGGAACTCAGACATGTTTGCGATTGGCCCAGGTGCATATGTGTTTCTGGGAGTTCTTTTCTCAAGTCAAAAAAGATAGAGAGAGGAAAATATTAACACTAAGTGTGATTTACTAATGCTTGTAACACGCAATTTACTGCTAACTGTGCCAGGAAAAAAAAGCATGTCTCATTTTTTGTGCCAGATACTGAATTGAATTGCCTGTGTTTAAAAAACATTACATGTAAAACGAGCCACACCTATGCGGGGATCGTGTGCACATGCTATTTTGTCCTATTTAGTAAATCTGGCCTTTACCCATCGATGGATAAGTGTAAAGAATATCCCAAAGCCTATTTAGAAAACCAGTTCCTGTTGAAATCTTATAATGGAATATAAACTGATGCATTTAAACCCTGAATTTATTAAATAATAATTTATATGGAAGTCTAGATTGCTAAATCAAACACTTTACCGTGGTTTACTATAATATCTTGTGACTATTGGCAATAGTCGTGCAAATATTGTACACAAATGAGTAAATAGTAGGTTGGAATTACACTGTAGAGAATGATTTAGAGAACATGATTTGCCAAATTTCTCACTAATCATGATTGTGTATGAGTATACTTTTTAATCCAATAACACAAAGTTGGCAGGATGAACGTATGTTTTCCTGAAGAAGTGTGTTTTTCACTCCACAAGCTCTTTATCACACTATGAGCAGTATTGTTCATTCTCCCCTTGGCCATCAGGTCACCCAGGAGGAGGTTCTCATTTGTCCATCTCACACTGCTGTCCTGGCCAATTACTCTGATCTAATGTGCACCCTGGCAGGCATCTGCGGTGACGCCAGATGCTACTGCACAAACCCGCCAGCTCCCAGTGTGGCTTTTATAATATTAAACAGATTGTCTTTCTTTGTTGATGCAGTGCTTCTTTGCAAAGGAAACCTCATTGCACTGGCACGAGATCTGATATAGTACGAGGAGTAGGTTTGTTGTGTTTATATGAGTGAGTGGATGTGTACAGTTTAAATCTAGCACTTCCGCCCTTCACCCGCGTGCCTTTCTGCCTTTTGCCATATTTTTATGAAATCAAAGCAGCCTGAGTCAGGCTAGACCTCATCATCATAGCATAATATTTTTTGGGCAGTTAACCAATTGTAAAACAAACGCTTATTCTGTGTTCCAATTTAGGACTTTTTAAATATTCTGTAGCTTAAAAAGTAAAAACCTTGGAAAGTATTGTGCTGTAACTGCAGACACTCTGCGGTCCACAGAAAATTCAACATCAGTGATTCATGGCAATAAATGTGATAATAGTATATGATTCTGCAGAAGCTTTTGGAATTACTCAGACCAAAGGTTGAAGCACAAGGACATTCTCTTTCTGCCTGTAAATGAATGCTCTTTGCAACACAAGACATTCAGCTCAAATATTTCAAAGACGTATTTGAAAAATCCTGTTAACCTCTAATAAACTGCAGTTTTGACCTTGCCTATGCATGCCTCAATAGATGAAAGGATTAAACCTCGTACACATTCCTCCAAATAAGCACAGGAACATAATAAACTATCCCTCAATTAATTTCTTCACAGATGTCCCTAATAATTGTGTGAAGAGTTTCTATAACCCATCAGGTTCTACTGCTCACATCATCAATCATGTTTTGGTTGGAGACATAAAACATATATATTCATCCATCCAATCATTTTCTTCCACGTATCAAATTCTGTGCCCCAGTACGGCTGGAGCCTATCCCAGCTGTCACAGGGCGAGAGGCAGAATACACCCTGTGCAAGATGTCATTCTATCATAGGACTAACACAGAGACAGACAAACATTCACACTTACATTCACAATTAAAGCAAATTTAGAATCAGCAACTAACCAAAGATGCGTGTCTTTGAATTGTGGGAGGAGTCTGGAGTCCTGGAAAAGACCCCATGCAGACATGGGGGCTATGGCGGTAGGGAAATCTGGCCAGGATCCTTCTTGGACACCTCCTACAGTAGGTGAGGTGTTTCACGAGATTTCAGGACAGACCAAGGATAGAAAGAAGATTGTGTTTCTGGGCTGGCTAGTTATTTATTTCAGTTATTTTATATTGGGGTCAAAATTACACTAATTAGTTTTGTCATATAAACACAATATAAATCATGTTTACTTGAAATGACTGAAAACTAAGGGATTAAGAGTTAAAAGATGGTCGATTAGCTATTAAGTAAAAGTGGATTGTTTTTTTGGATAAAAACTACAAGTTGCATTAAAGAAAAAAAGCATTTTTGTAACTTGCCGAATTAATAATAATAATCTATTTTTTGTCCTTACATGACAGATATTATATAACTAATGGTGCTGCAAGAAAAAAAAAAGGTTTTACTATTTTCCTTTTACAATAAACTGTTTTTGGGGTCCTCAGCGATGCTATGTTAAATATGGTGGTAGAATGAAGGTATAATAAAAGAACTCAAACAAGCAGCGGCTGGTGTAATCTTTAAAGTTATTCATGTAGAAAAAAGCGCATTAGTTGGAAAACAACTGCAGCAATGTGTGCGGTGCAGCAACCAAGCAAAACTAAGTGTTCAGTAACTGAGCTCCAAGAATGAACTTAGTTCTATGACCTAAACCAAACTTCTCAGGCGTTGCAAGTGTGCCTGCTGCACGTCCCAGCTCCAGTCCAATCTGTAAAGAAGGCAGCCACACAAATAGGTAGACACAGAAGCTGGGTGGCTTTGCACAAAGAATGAAAATGCTGCAAATACAACTAGTATTGTATCTTTATAGTTTACTAATTAAACTAATTGACATTGAAAAACTAGTTCATGCATTTATTACTTCTAGGCTGGCTTCCTGTTAAATCCAGAATTCAAAATCCTGCTCCTTCCCTTAACAGTCTTAAATAATCAGGCCCCATCTTATCTTAATGACCTTGTAGTACCATATCACCCTATTAGAGCACTTCGCTCTCGCTCTGCAGGCCTACTTGTTGTTCCAAGAGTATTTAAAAGTAGAATGGGAGGCAGAGCCTTCAGTTTTCAGGCCCCTCTTCTGTGGAACCAGCTTCCAGTTTGGATTCGGGAGACAGACACTATCTCTACTTTTAAGATTAGGCTTAAAACTTTCCTTTTTGCTAAAGCATATAGTTAGGGCTGGACCAGGTGACCCTGAATCCTCCCTTAGTTATGCTGCAATAGGCATAGGCTGCTGGGGGATTCCCATGATGGGTTGAGTTTTTCCTTTTCAGTCACTTTTTTCACTCATTATGTGTTAACAGACCTCTCTGCATTGAATTGTATTTGTTATTAATCTCTTTCTCTCTTCCACAGCATGTCTTTTATCCTGTTTTCCTTCTCTCACCCCAACCGGTCGCAGCAGATGGCCCCGCCCCTCCCTGAGCCTGGTTCTGCTGGAGGGTTCTTCCTGTTAAAAAGCAGTTTTTCCTTCCCACTCTCACCAAAGTGCTTGCTCATAGGGAGTCATATGATTGTTGGGTTTTTCTCTGTATGTATTATTGTAGGGTCTACCTTACAATATAAAGCGAAGCACCTTGAGGCGACTGTTGTTGTGATTTGGCGCGTGTGTAAAGATGATTCTAATATATTATATATAAATAAATATTTATATAAATAAAAATTAAATAAACTGAATTGAATTGAATTAAATGCATTCTGGGCTTTACTGCATCGATGACAAGTTACTGAACTGATTTCTAATGGATGCAAGCACAGCAAAATGCCTTTAGGTTTAGGTTTCCGTGTTTTCTCATTTAATTTCTTTCTACTCATTTTGAATACTTTGGGTTTTTTTAAACTGTCACCCCCTGCCTGTACCCAAAAGCTTGAAAATCCTCTGGCATTGTCTCAGATATCAACCACCAGCACTTTAGCCAATGGCAACCACAGCAGAGGTCTGGCGCTGTCATTTTCCATCACTCCTGACTAAATTATACTGTCCAAAAGTTTGACATCAACCCAACAAACAACAAAGGGCTGTTACAGCATTTTTTGGAATATAAATTTATTTATCTGCTCTTCTTGATTCCCGTAGTGATTTGCAGGTCTTGTTATCATGTCCTCCAATGAACCTTTGGTTACATCTTCTCTGAGACCAAACACGAGCTCAGCAAGTACTTTTAGGAGCAATTAAAATGGTATGCATACAATTTTCTTTTCAAAAACCTGACAGATGTCTTGTGAAAACAGAATCTGCTGTACATTCCAAATGTATTTTAAGTATCGTTGCAGTGCTGTTGCACACAAAATATGAGTTGCCATTCTGCTGAACTACTTTATGTTTTTATCAAGTTCTCCTATTTTATTTCCAAAATAATTCACTA